AGTGTTTGTTTTCCTTGGAAGGGATGTATTTCATGGTAGAATGTCATATAGTCGCTACGTATACTCTCCCATAGAAGTATTCCACACTTAGGCACAGCACAAAAAACTCATTAATAATTCATGAAGGAAACACAATAGAAATCATGACCATGAAGGAGGTTTTATATCTGATATAGATTCGTCTTCATTTGCATAAACTTTAACTTGGATTTTCTCTATCAAACTTGGTTCATTTCGTAAAGAATTCGGTACAGTATGAGAACATACATCAGGAGTTTTTTAAGCCGTTTAATAAACTCGCAGATATCGTGTTTTATCGGGTCTAAAACCACTCGGCTACGCCTCGTGTTTTATACCCGATAAAACACTCCTGCTCGTTTATTAAACAGTACGTAGTAAGAGGAAAAAAGAAAATGAACCTTGACACATTTTCAAGTAAAGACGTGTTGCATAGTGTTAAACAAATAAAATATTTCATAGAATATGTTTTTTGTTGATAGTAGTTAATTTAGGTTTATAAAATAATACTGAATTTCGTGATCGTCATATCAGATCAGCTCCTACAATCTTACTGATAACGACATGTTTTCGTGCCGTGTTCTTTGTCTTGGTTTGATTTTGTCCTCTGTTTTCCTTTCACTGGAGGGTAAGTACGAGATAAACAAGATAATTACTGGAAACTTATAGTGATGTTTTCAGTACTGGAGATGGATGGATCATTACGTGTTTTTATTTCTTTAACTGGAGAGTCAGCGCCCAAAATGRTCCAGTTGCAATTGGGCGCGTGTATATGTAACTTCATATGTATATCTTTTCAACTGACTTGCAATAAATTACTTTTATTTTTTTAAAACAACGATGATAACTACGATGAAGCAAAAGTCATGCGTTTTATTTAGGGGATCAAAGCTTTGAAATCCTTTAAGGTGACTGTCTACTTTACCCGTTTTGAACTTCAAGAGAGCAAAACTCTGAAATTTTATACTTTTTATGAGCTTAGTTGAAAAAACTTCAGCTTTTTTTCCTGCGATTACTTCCCGTGGCGCAATTTTTCTTCCAAAACCTTCCGCGTAGGCATCCATTAAATGCTGATTATCTCGAAAACAAGCTAGGGACACCCCATTTTTCTTTTCATATTTGGAATCAACATTAAATTTCACGTTAAAAGATCGTAATTTGAAAACGTTTTTTTGCCCAAAAGCAGCCAGTCACCTTAAATAAAGTAGTTTTTCCCCCTTCCAAATAACTTCTTACTCGATTAATATTTTGATGACGACGCACAACGTGGTTATTTACTCAGGTATCCAAAACTCCTGCATCAGTGGTTGGGTTAAGATGAATCGACGCGTCGTTTGTTTCAAGACCCGAGGTGACCACTTCGGCTCTTTCCATAACTACGTAAGGTCTGGTTTGGTAGCAGCGATCAAACTAAAGCACGTTTCTGGCAACATCGCATGCACTTTCGGTTCATCCCACAATAGTTACTGGGGATGCGCCAATATCGGCAGTATTTTCAAAGTCAATGCCTTCAATGCGGTGGTAACAGATGAGCTCAACCAAATCATCTTTCCAAAGAAACAATACATCGGGTATGCTTATCCTTGAAACTACTTACACATTATGAGGAAATGTTTTTCAATAACGAACAATAATGGCAAAAAGCGCCAAAAACTAGACCTTCGTATGAGTTTTGTTCCCAATTTTCGTTTTGGGTTAACACTCAAAACCTTTTTTTAACAGTTAGAAACTGATGTACTATGATAAAATCCTTGTTTGAAGTCGGTATTTTCAATTGTACAAAGATGTTTTGTTGCATTTGTGTTAGAATGTAGCTTTGTCAGGCTTTTTTATAGAAAATCATGTATAGGAAATAAGCAAATGAAGGCCTAAACCTCATTTTCGATTCAAATTTTTGCTTTGGGTCAGAACACTTTGATTCCACTTTCATCGGTCATCTCCATTTCCAAACAAGTTAAACTTTCTGAATAACAAGATTTTAGCTTTGTACAATAGCCTTTCTTCAAGAAAATAGTTTTTGGCGCTCACCGCTTGAATACGAAAAGAATTCTCTCTTATAATTTATGCTATGTAAGCCTAAGGGATTTTTCTTATTTGATTTTAATTTGTTGTATGTAGTGGTCCAAGATACTGGTATCGAGTTCCCTTCGCTGACACCGCCTCTTCCAAAGAAATCACCTTTACCGACTTTGCCCAGCCTTTCTACTTCCCCAAGTACAAGCAGATGAGGATCTGGTACGGAGAGGATCTCATTGGAAGCTCTGAATCAGACAACCATGGTCGTGTTTGTGTGAATGTGTATGCTAAGTTCATGTTATAAGTAAGGACCTCATGAAAGACCCCCTAGCCATTGGCTAGTAAGATAACGATAATGCTAATAAAAGAAATATTAACAGTTTTATAACAAGAATTAAGAAAGTAATATGTAAGCTTAAAACTKGAACAGGACTATTAATAAAAGGTTACAACCTGATCGAACTTTTCAGTTGTGTGATTGATTAAGATACTTTTTATCTAACCTCATCCTGGACACATTTTTTCTAACGCACACAGACGTGCAAAGTCATCACATTCTGGAAACGAGATTGAATAATAGCACCAACTCTTTACTTCCTCGGAACTTACGAATATTTCTGTCTTTGTGTTCGCCATATTGCAAAAAAATGAGCGTTTTTGATTGGTCAAAAGTATCACGTGATTAACCTCCTTGGGGGCCTGCTAGCTCGTGCAAATTGTGCTCAAAATTCGGCCAAAAAAGATGGATTAATTTTAAAATCTTTAACATCAAACCATGAAAAGACACAAGAGAACTAAATGTCCGAGTAAAGCAGATTGTCATTTGCTATATCATGGTTGTTGATTTATCGGCACTTTAAATTTATGCTTTGCTAAAACTGACTCATTTTAATAGCCCCCCTTTTTTACGAGAATGAAATTGTTTGTTGTCTAAGGTTTAGTTGAGTTAAGAAGGAAACCCCCCCCCCCCCCCTCCCCGGTCTTTAAAAGGTGCCCCTTAGTTCCCCTTCAAATCATAGTGCTGCCGTCCCTGATGTATTGGGAACAAGTGATCTTTTAGCAGGTTACTGATGAAGATAGACCATTCATATTGTGAAACGTTTGAAATAAGCCACGTGAATACCATATCACGTTTCGTCATCACCGATTTGACTCAGCAGTTCAACCTTTTCGTATTACGTGGGTGGCTGTCTATTACCCACGACTCTGAAACTTAAAACCATCAAAACAACCTCTTAAAAAGTGAATAAATTTATCATCTTAATTGAATGAAAACACATAATAAGTGTGAGTCTGATCGGGAAAAACGTAACTTAGCTTGACTTGCCAACAAGATTTTTTCGTATGGATCTTTGATAAGTGGTTAGATGCATGTGAAACGTCGCGGAAAAGATAGATTAGAAAGAAAGAGTCTCATCTCAAGAAGTTAGCAATGTTCTAAAATGGACATTGAACATTATAAACAAGTGCGGGAGACTGGGCACCAGGAATAGATGTGATTGGTTCATTCTCGTCGTGTGGTGTCTCCTGATCAAATATTTCAATATTTATCATCTGGAATTCGTTTTTGAGATGTTTTTCGTAAATGTTACAATCGTCTAAAAATAGCTGTCTCGTGAATTCAGTGGTCACTAAATGTTTAAGTTTTAGCAAAGCTAAATTTAGGGGGGAGGGGAGGGGAGGGAAGGGGGAGGGAGTAGGGGAAGGTCGGGAAGAGAGGAGGAGTAAAAAAAAAATTGGAGGAGGAGGATTTTCGTTTTTTATCTCTTTCTCACATTTAGCATTTATACTTACGGTTTTTAATTACTTTATCCCATTTCCCTGGCCAGTGTGTCCATTAGTAATGAACAATTATCATGATGAAATTGAGCGAGGAGTGATCGTAAATTATCAAGACCAAGGTCGTGTTATCTACCGAAGCCGTAGGCTAAGTTCAGGATAAAACGGCCAAGAGAGAATATTTTATATTTTACGATATCAAATCCGAAAACTGCCAAAAAAATATTTTATCTTTATTTTGACTGACTTTRTTTTCCCTTGTTGACAATAGGAGGGTCATGGATTTATCGAGGGCTACAACCATTTTAAAAACGTTTACTGCAAATCCCTCTCAGCCCGATAAAGGAGTACCTTTTCCCCTAAGGCTAAGCTAAGCTATAGTTTGATAAACAAAAACCGTACGTCTGTCGAATTTGCATCTAAACGTGCACAGTTCCTCACGTTTGACCTCCTATCTTGAAGGAGGGAAGGAAGAAGTTACGCTTAAATAAAATCAGCGCAAGCCATTCTCACGTTATTGCTATAGAGTGGGCACATGTCAATATTCCACCATTTCAGTTTCGAACTCTCTCGAACGGAAATGTCATTAGAGCATCAGGATAGATCTTAACATCGATTTTATGATGGAAAACCGGACGTCAGTCTCCTTTTGCGCATGATGAACTCTTAACAGCTAAAACGTAACACAAAACTACCAAAGCTGATCGGTAAAAGGGTGACGTTTGACAAAAATAAGTTCAAAACTAGCGAGTAATGTTTTTACGGAAAACATAATCATAGCTTTCTCAATGCCTACAAACGAATTTTGGTTTTTGTAAAGTCATGTTTTCACGAGTTTTAATAATTTTTAACATACTTGGTCCGGTATGATCAGTAATTATTTTTTCTTTCCTATGAGTTTTGGAATTAAATGATAACAGATAGTTAAGAATCAATTCATAGTTCCCCTACGTAAATTTGAAGCTCGTGTCGCGCTATGGCTCCCTGGTAAGGTGAAGGTGTTTGAGATGCTTCTTCGAACCAGTTCATAATCGACAAGTACGTACCAAGTAGAGAAGATATCTCAGTACCATTCAACAAACAAACTTCTTTACCTCGTAGCGGGGAGTAATGTTTTCCCATCTGACCTCATTTCATTCCCTAGAGCATCATTTCTCTGTTTAACGGTTGGGCACGAAAGTCATATAAAATGGAAAACATTTCTTACCACCTTAAAATCTTTTGAATTTGAATTTTGATATTTTTTTCTTGTTATCATTGTTTTTTCCTCGTCAATTTTAATATTAATCATGTTTGTACTGTATGTAAATTGTATGAAGAGGGAATATTAATTGGGACGAAAGTTCTGTTTTCTTCGTCAGTCACAAAATTTCTATGTCTCAAGTTTTATAAAATGCATATGTTTGTATTGTGACAAATAAACTAAACTAAACTAAACTAAGTGCCTGGATAAAACTCAAACTCTTGACAGTGGGCGTAATGTTTTCTCATTTTGACCACATGTTATTTTCTTGAGAATATGACACGTGATCAGAAATGAAAAAAAACATTACGCCCAAGGTAAAGAGGTCTATGGCATGCCTTACTGGCGTCGTGCTGCACAACAGTTAATGAAGCAAGGCTTTTGGCAGTTCTCCTTTTAATCTCAAATAAACAATACATCCAAAGTGGAAATGCTGATAATGATCATGTTTTTGGGGAGAAGGAGGAAATAGTAAAAGCCTAATACGCAATGATATTACCCTAATTCATACAACGTGATGACACTTTCATTGATAATAGCCTGTAGTTATTCGTAGTTTCCTTTTGTGTATCTTCGATCTTAAATATAATACTGAGTGAAATGATCTGGAAACTGCGAAGGGAAAGACCGAGTGGATTGTTCTATTACGTGTGCGCATCACTTTCAATATTCAATTGAAATGAATAAAAACTAATAATAATAAATAATGATGATGGAAATTAACAGTGGATTCCACAGAGGTAGTGGCTCTTTTACCATTGGATTCCAGTTTAGAAGTTGGTTTTTGCTTAGGGAGGAAAACCGATAGAATCCACAGAAAAACCCTCGACGCTTAGGGAAGAACCAACAAGCAACTGTGTCACTAAGCCTGAGAATAAAAATAAGCCGCCTGATTTTTTAGCCTGTTTTAGTTTTTCTTGCATTAATGAAAGTTATCTATCATGGTATTGAATTAAAGGAATAGTTTCTATAGAGCTGGTAAGATTGGCGCACCGGAACTATGCACAATAGGCACCCTATCGACTTAAGAGCCCTGCCATTCGTACTGTGCATGCTCGACGAAGCGCCTAAGCGTACCCGAGAAAGTGCCTGGCACTTCGTCGAGCATGCGTAGTAAGAATGACAGACCCTGGGGCCTAGGAAAAAGGAAGCGCAATGTTTCCATTTCCACATCTCCTCTGTGGGCTATGTTCGCTCAACTAGTGAGCAATATCCAGAATCGATAGCAGAGCGAAAACACCGAATTATGGAATCAGTATACTCAAAATCATATCTGAATCTATAGAATGAGTTAAAACAGGAGTCTATTTCCCGCAGCTTACAACTATAGTACCCCTATCTAGAGTTTTGTTTTCTCGGATTGGTTATTTTTAGATTAGAATTGTTGCCAAATAGCAAAGCATTCCTCATTAGTTCCTCTTGTTCATTCCACCAGCATGGTGGAGACACAAGTGAAAAACGTCTGCGCATGCTCTGAATTCGTATGTAAATTAGTCCAAACACATGTGAATTTGACATTCAAACATGCCTAAGTAATTGGACTTCACCAAATGCCAAAACTTAGTGTCCATGCTTGAAACTTAAGGCTAATTCTTTCATATTGTGTTTGTTAATACAGTATCTTGGTCTGTCAAAAGTATACTCGCGAACTTTTTTGTATACTCGCAGAAAACAAACATTTATTTTCTCACTCAAACTTTTCAAAATTCTTAGAAAAAGTGCTGAAATGCACGCATGCGCAAACGTTTTTCTCTAGTGTCCATGGTGGCTATATCTGTTTTCTCTATTTCTCGGATTGGAGGCCGTTCAAAATATAGATGGTTTGGGAAAACAATAACTCCTAATGAAGATAAGTGAGTTGTACGCTCCTGGTAAAGTGCTCCTGGTTAAAAGGGCTTCTTTTTTATCACCAGACAAAACAATGAGGAGTTGTTTCCCGATGAATATAATGTCTATTCGATTTGCCGTCACTGATGCTTCAGACGACATTCTGCTACCAACATGGAAAACGCCGGTGTTCATGCTGCTTTAAGACTGAATAAGTTTAGTCTATAGAATATCCCAATGATCTCATGACTGACCACTTGTAAAAGGAAAAAAGGAGAAGAAAGAAGAAAGAAGGAAAGAAGGAAAGAAAGAAAGAAGGAAAGAAGGAAAGAAGGAAAG